AAACTGAATGTACAAAATAAGGCCAAATACATAAACTGCAAAACTGAATACATTTAATACTTTACCGCGAAGTGTTTGACACATTATGGCATACGTAGTATACCCATGGATTTTCAAAATAATTTTGATAGTGTATGGTGTATATGTAGCATATATTTTTGGAACACCACTGCAAGAGAGAAATGTATATAATGTATTCTTAGCTCTGTATAATTTACATAGGTTGACGCAATAATTTTCTGTTGTGTTGTACGAATGATTCTTGAATCATTGGATGAATCTAATATTCACCCTACATTTTTTAATTAATAATATTTCGTACATATTATTTCGACATTGTAGTTTTTGTTATCCATACAGGTAATCAACATACGCAGATTTTTTATTATATCTAATTAGACTTTTTGGTATATGCATCAACGTGTACTAGATTATCCGCTTTATATTAAATTTAATTTGTTCTTACACGTTGGTAGGTGAACTAATATTTTATTTTATTATTAAGAATCATTTCTTATATTAAGTTAATCAACAACAATAGTATATTTCAAAAGACTTTGAAACAGAATAAATTGGGTAGGTATTTATTGCTAGTTTTCTCGCAATTGGTTCTATGAAAATAACTTCGAGCACATAAAAGACCATTAAAAGATAAATATATTGTTAAAAAAATACATGTTACATTATATTCTCAATATTTTGTAATTTTAAACATATACTCGTAATTATATACATATATTATATAGTTTTATATAAAAAGACAACGAAAAATGTTAATAGTAAGTAATTTTTATTATGTTTAAAAAATAATGAAATTTATGATTTGAATATTCACGAATACTAAAGTTTAAAAATAAATGTAAATAAATTAAAATATTAAATAGATTATTGAATTCCTAACATGAAATAGAATAATTTCGTATTCATATTAACCCAGATACAGTGGAAAATATAAAATTATGGATATGGATAAAATTTGAAAATATTAACTAAATAAATTATCATATACCTAATAATAAAAATAATAATTGCTTTATTATTTTCAATTTAATTGAAACTTTTAATATATACAGTCGAAGTATCACGTACAAAAATACCATAATAATAATAATAATAATAATAATTATAATACAATGTTCTAGTAATTATACGGAAAAATTAAGAAGTTAAATTGAAAATTAAAAATATTATACTGTTATCGCCTTAGCAATAGTAGAAATTCATGATTTGAAATATAACATATAGCGTATTGACTATAGGTATTCATGATGTTTATATAATTTATCGCTCAATCATATATTAAGTTAAAGAATTCGTACAATTAAATTAGTAATTAGAAGAACGCGAGATTGATAACAATAGAAAAAATATTGGCGCATTTAACTGTTAAAATAAGTTATATGATATATGTTTAATATATTCATTAAGTTGTTCTTGATTCAACGATAGTTAAATGCAATAATCTTCTTTTCCCATTTCCATACAATCATAGACATTCATTTGTTGAGAAATTATCCATTATATTTAATTACTACTTACTGACGCTAACTGTTTTATAATGTAGTGTAATTTAGTTGAAACCAACAATAACCTAAAATACGGAAACGAGTGTTGAGATTTGAAAGATTAGAATTACGGTGAAGTTTTAAATGGTGAGATGGAATATGTAAAGTAACTAGCAATCGTAGATAATTTTAGTGTACAGTAAATTATAGTTTACTAGTATGGATCGGTCCCGAAAAAAATTACATTATGAAATGTAGTCCATAATCTATATATACTTTTGTTTGGTATTACTTTTTTTTTTTTTTTAAATGATTATTTATTGATAATTTATAGAGAGACTTAGATAATTAAGACGCTTTTGTGCTAAAAGGTTAGTAGTAGACGAATTTTACACATAAAATTACGCGATTGGATGGTGTAGATGACCGGGATTTGGAAAATTAAGCAGACAACTTAACAACAATTTAATAAGAATAATATAGTGTGGTTGACCCCACTCATTTTAAATTCAATTTTATAGGTTGAAAAATGAAAATTAATTAACAGTTTTATAATATTAGGTGTGTAAATAATTATACCGGTAGAATAACAGCTAACTGTAGTGGCTACTGGTTAAACTATAATTATTATGTGTTCAATATTTAACATAAAATTGATATTAATTGTTAATTATTAATATGCTCGGATTCTGGAAAATAAAAATAATTATTTGACGAGTCGAAAGTTATTATTATTATTATACTTAAATGCAAGGATTTCAGTTTAATGTTGCTTACGAAAAAATAAAAGATAAGTATTTTTATAAAATATCCATTAATTATTATTTTAGGTAAAGTTTTGAATAAAAAAAAGAAAAGCTTATTGATAAAAATGTACACTTTCTTAACGATGTATCAATTTAAATAATATATAAAATGTGAATTGATTAGTTTTAAATGACTCAATGATTTGTTAAACATGTGTACTTTCTCTAAATATAATATGTAAGTATTTTATCAATTAAGGTGATTTAATTATACTTATATTGTACATTATAATGATAAAGCACGAACGTCAATTCATTATTTAATTTTTTTTTTCTATAAAAAATAAACTAATAAAATATGTATGCGATAAAGTTTTTAAAATGAGTTTACGTAATGTATAATAGACAGTTGAAAAAAATGTAGGCATTCAATTGCTATTTAATGTCCATTATTGATCGGTATATAAGAAAATCTAAAACTACTCAACTAGAACAAACCGACTACTTTTCATTTATTTTCGCTAAATTATTTCGCAATATATTGGGCTGTAGAATATGTTTATCATTAAAAATATTTAGTAAACATGAGAATGATATGACTATTAATTTGCATGTACAAGTAATGACTTATGTGATCTCATTTTTTCTAAACTATTATTTATTACGTTTATATTTTTGGTAAACATATAGAAAAATTCAGTTATACTATCATCACTCATTACATAATATAATCAAATACTCAAACACTTAATTTGAAATGGTTGAAATTTTTTGACTAATATTAATTATAATGATTTTCTATTACAGTACTAGATAATGCAATATTCGTATAACTATATTTTATTTTTGGTGTGTATATAATGATTTCTTCCGGCGAGGAAGCATCAGCCAAAAATTACAACTAGAACTAATATCCAACGATTAATTACGTCATAACTGTCTATCTGCTTGTACTTAACTTGAAATAATTCATTAAAGCATACCATATTCAAATCCGTTGTTAATAAATGTTTGTTACGTAAAAAAATAATAAAAATAAAAAAGTATGTATTTAAATTCTTCGATCAAATAAAATGTTAGTGGACTATGTATGTACACTGTGACTAATTTTTTCAAGTACGTATTGTGTAACATTTTGAAGTTTTCATCAGTTTTTCAGTATATATTAATGAATATGAAACATTTAATTTTTGATTTCATTAATATTTAAAACACTGAATATTATTATTATTATTAAAAATAATGATTTTCATATTAATAATCGTAATAGGTATAAATTTAAAAATCAAAATCGAAGGATACTGAATAAGTTATGGTGTATAGCGTATAGTATTAATTGAAATTAATAAATATACAAAAATGTATTAGAATATTACATTACCGATATTTGAATGTGAGTATTAAATAAATACAAAAAATTTAAAGATTTGATGGAAAATAAAACACAATATTCAAGCATAATACGGTGAATATTTTTGCAACGGTATATGCAATGACGATTCTGAAGATGGTACATGGTTATATATCAGACGGTTTTAAGCTCTTGCAAGGGCTCACCAACAACTGTGGACCGTATATTGACTCTAGGAGCTATTCATGAGACGCAGAGATCTGAAATATGCATATCGGGGTGTCAGAAGGACCACCAATCCCGGGATATCATGTCGCTCAGATGTAAAGGACCCTTTATCATACGATCGCGGGTTTCGTGTCACGACGGTCACCTTGGTCAGGCCGAAAGCTATCGTTCTTCCTCTGTCCGGTTTTGGTTGCAAAGAACATCCGAATGTTTATATTTCAATCGGCAAAGCGGCTAGATCCTCGAGAGGTTCACCACGGCCTGCATCGCGCAACATTTACGAGGGGTTTTCAACCCCCGCAGCCGTGCGTCGTGCCGACTAGCAACTATTATCAGAAACTGGATGAGCATTGACCGTTATCCATTGACCATATCAGTTGCTCCTAAAACAATCACTACGACACTTCGTAGTTAAGTTAGTTAAGTTTAGGCTTAAGCCCCTCGGTGGATACCTTACCAAGTGTCAACCTGTTGTGCATGTCCTGTAGGGCTGCTGCCGCCCGTGATATCGTAAACTCCCCCATTTAAGTGGATTAATCTCCGGTCAAGACGTTCATCTTAACGATTGTACCAGTATCGCATTTAAAAAAAAGACTTTTTATCATCAGTTTTTACCGTCCCCCGATTTTTGACATACGTACAATCGCCCGTGTGTAGGTATATGCATGTCAATTTCGTACTATACTCAGTAGCTATTAGTTAACCGTTTGAAAGTAAGTACTATAAATAAATAGGTTATAGGAAACCCGCATTAATAATTACTTGATGATCAATGAAGATTTATTTATGCACATTTTTTATTTGGTATAAGAACAAAAGAAAATCTAAATCAAAGAAAAATAAATTGGAATAAAGAATACCTAAATTATTACAATTGCATCTTATTGTATCGATAGTTGTTACACGTAATGCTACAGTGCACATATTTTTGAGTCTTCGGAACACCTACAATTTCGATTAAAAAAAACCTGTAGTTGCTTGATCTTCAAGCGATATAGAGAATAAATCGAATAATAAATGTATTTCGTCGATGTGCCTGTTCTGTGTCCAGTACACGTCTTGTGACGCGCAACGGCATCGATCTCATTTAAATTAAGTCAAATCATCCTTCCCGCCAACACTGTTGCCCCTTTTCGCACTTAACGTTTTGTTTTATCACATGTGTCGCAGGAGACGACTGTGGCCGGTTGAGGTCATGACGACGCAATGCGGTTTAAGGACGGTCTGCTGGCACTGCTATGGGTCATCACTGCCATAGCCGTGACGGCCAGGACGCCGCGTGCCGCAGCGGCCGCGTGCCCACCATCGAATGACGCCGTCCGACGTTGCAAGTGTTCCAGCCGAGACAACGAGATTCAGATATGGTGAGTATGTTTGCGTCGATGTTTCGCATTGTTACATACAAAAACGTATCCGTTCCTTCGACACGTGAACGAATCCAATTATTTTATCCTGGTTGAAAAATAAATATATAAATATACATTAAAATGGGTACAACAAATATTATACCTAATAAATTCGATAGATATTATACTTTATCGGTTTATAAATGAGTTTGTAGTATATTACACTTGGAAAATCGAACTAATAATACCTCGTTACATTTTTTAATTACAATTATCTTTTAGAAAATCTTATCCTAACCCAATAAAACTATTTTTAACATTAAGCAATCTGTATTTAATGAGTATTTAGCTATACAAATAAAAATATATTCAAATATTGAATATATATATATAAATTAAACAAAGTTAATTTACTAATAAAGTTCACTTTTAAATTTTAAAGATATTTATAATGAAAACAGGTTGTATTTATAATATATATATATATATATATTATATGTGTTACAGTTAAAGTATTGAATTCCATAATTTTATGAAATAACTAGGTAGTTCAAAAATTACCTACGAATGTTAGTTAAAGTATGAAATCATATATGAAAATAATACTTTAACTAGTTATTTCATAGAATGTCTAGTTATTCTATACAGTTTTAGTTTGATGTATGTTAAAGTATAAAATACATTAAAATTTAAAATATATCATAAAATATTATTTATTTTAAATTGTAGAGACTACAAACCAACACTGAACGCGTAGTAGGACTATTATTACCTTACCAATTTTATTAAAAATCTTAATTATAATACATGTACAACGATAATTTTATTTAACACGATAAACGTTCATGAACACTGCAGTCACCGACAACAAGAACGTCAGTTTTATCTAATTTATTGCTATGATGGACAGTAAAATAACGATATTGTATATGTATGAATGTATCAATTGGACACATTAACAATGTGATGTCAGGGAATGTATAAAATAACTAGTTAAAGTAGAAATTATATAAATTACCTACACGTTTATTTATTTCATAAACTAATTGATTCAATAAATTAACTGTAACGTATACATATTTGGTATACATATTTATATATATTTGGCTATAATTTGATTAAAGAAGTAACTTGCAGTTCTGCCCTTTTAATTTTTTTTTAATACAATTTTAGGTTTAGAGTTATTAAAAATCTCACTAAATCTTGTCGTTTTAGCGATAGATCAATTCAATGGACTGGTGTAATATTAATTAATTAAATTTGCATTTCATTTTAAATTTTAATAAATCCATTACCATAATTTTTCACAATAAATAGTGTACGATTTTCTAAGTAAAATAATTATATTTTATTTATCTATGTACAATTGGTAATTCCAATAACTATAAAATTGATTCTTTTAATTTACAAAATTTATAGTTTTCATATATTTTATATTATCAAAATTATATTAAGTTCAAGGGTAACTAATAAGTTGTAATAACAAGGCGTTTTGATTAGGCATTCAATGTGACACGTATCTTTTGATGGAGTCAACGTGTGAAAAGTTAATTAATATTATCTCATGTAACACATCATTTGAGCATGTTACTGCTTAATTATATACCATATTATACCATTAAAATTGTTGGAATTTTATTATCCAAAATTCTTAAAATTCTTAAAATTAAAAATAATATAAGACATATATTTATGAGGATGTGTTTTATATTACATTAATTTTCATTGGTACTCATGTTTAACTATTCCTGAAACTGCTTAAATGTAATAATATTTAACAGATATTGGGTGATTGCATTAAAATAATATTTTATTATAATATAATATAATATATTATATTAATACAATTTTAAATTTTCTAAGCCAAATATAAATCAACGATCTACCAATAATTTATAACTACAATGCAAAAATATAACTGAGTATATAATATTATTTCCAAATAGCATAAATTTGTCTGCCAAATTTCAACTATTATAATCTACATAGATCGCCCATCTCCGAGCAATATTTATTATGAAAATCGACATATTTATCATGAGAGGAAGATTATCATAAGTATACATGATCAAATCATAATTTTTAATATTTTATAAATGGATTATAGATAAACATTTTGAGTAACGTTACGTTTTTCACATTTATTCGTAATATTGATACTTTAATATAAATCAATATTTTAACAAAAATAAAATATATATAAATTATTTTTACTTATTTTCGTATGAAACGAACATAATGCATTCAAAAACGTCCTAGTAGTGATTCAATCAAATAATATTTGTTCGATACCAATATATAAATTATTACCTAGCTGATATATATATTATTATTAAACATGCATAAATCAACAATTAATATTTAAAACAAGCGTTTTTCGTATGTCATATTTTAATTATTTTGTAATCAAAGTGTTATTTTAAATTTAAATTTTATACATAGAATTTCTTGAAATGAGGAAAAATGTTTGGTTTCGTGTAATTATGTAGACATAAATAGGATTTTGATTTTAGAGCATTATAAATAATTATGTACAGAAAATTAAAATACCTAATTCATGTGAAGAAAACCATTTTCTGCAATTTTGTTTTTATTAAGACGTTGATACTATTTACAAGATAATTTTATTTATTGCCACGTACCGTTGCCGATGTGATTTCTAAGAAACATTTTCTTATTTATTTTGCCTCGTGATTGTTCTGACACACCATTATTTTATTGCACAATAGATAGACGTAATAGGATAGATTTCATCGTCTATACATACGCTTATGTTGTTACAAATAGTACGTACCTACACTACGTACACAAGATAAACGAGACTTTCAATTTACATAAATAAATACATAAATCATATTAAATATTATATTTTTTTCATTGCCAATGTTTTATTTTATAGATGGTATTATTAGGTGATAAATATTGTAGGTATTAGATATTACACACTAAATTTTAGCTAAGAATAAAATTGTTTGGTTTACATTTTTCCTAATCTGACATTATTCAGTTATAAATTTTAATATTTTCCACAGAAAATGTTTAAATATGATACCTTTACAATAAGAATTACAATTCGTAAGGAATTTGGAATATTTTCTTTATTTATAATCAAGAATGTTAATAATATCACTACCTCCATTATTATAGTTGGTAGATCCTAATTTAAATCCATTTAATTCAACTTATTAATTCAGATCATATTTTAGTAATTAAATTTAAATAAATTTCACAACATTTTTTTAACGTAAAAACTATTAAAATACATATTGAATACATAGTTTGATATTTTTAAGATAATAATAGAGATCTGCAAACATTTTAACGATTTTAAATGCATTTAATGGTTATTATTTTTATGAAATAAAACTTACCAAAAGTATTTTATTAGCTATTGAGATGTTAAAATTTTTACTAGAACTAAACCTACGTATTTTATGTATGTTAAGGTATCACATAATCATAAAATTTTCATATTAGTTGCATACGTTTTGTTCCGTAAAAACAAATTTTTTAAGTGAAAAAATTTATATTTTGAGGACACCTGGATAAATTGATAAATCTAAGATTCAATATATTTTTAAAATATAATAGCTTAAGTTAAATAATGACATTTTACAAACATGGATAGAGGAACTTTTCAAGACTGTTCTAAAACACTCGTAAAAATGAAGCTTAAATATTATTTTTTTAAATAGGTTAAAATAAATATTTAAAGATACATAGGAATTCGTCATCATACCCATATACTGGGGTGATTGGTCATTTTTTCGGGTAAAGTTAACGTATGTAATTGATTTAATAAATACCTACACTTTTCATAGAATACCATGAATTTATTTAAAAATTTAAAAATAAAATTAGTATATCTACTCAGTCTAATAATTTATTCTTTATACATTTTAAGTACCTATCATGACTTTAGAGTTCTTGAGAAAAAATATATTCTTCATGATTACCAGAATCTTCATTAACTGTATTCACATAAGCCTAGCTTCTAATTATTCAAAAGATAAAATTAATTTACATTTTTCATTTCATTGTAACATATAGGTAGGTAAAGCTTTTTTTTTATAATTTCTCGGCATTATATCTATTGAATACAGTACACGAACTAATATATACTTAATATAAAACATAATAGGAAGACAATTATTTTATTATATGACGAGGTGAGTTGACGATAATCTTGGTTTTATTAGAATTATTCTTATTAGTAAAATAGTTGTGTCTATAAAATTAAAGAGAAAATAAACCAGGCACGTACACAAAAAAATATTTTGGGAGGAGTCTTAGGTTGTATATTTTCATAATTATATAATCTATATAACACTTTTATTACATAATAAATATTATATAAAAACATATTTAATAATTTTCCTGCATTTCGGGGGAGATTTGAACCCTTAAAACTCCTCCTGGTGTACACAGTTGAAATAAACTATAGTGAATAATACTGTTTAAAAATTTCTATCATTATATTTCAATAGTTATATTATAAGTTATTTTTTTTTTATGAAGTAAGTTCTTTATGCAATTTTTACCAAAAACTTAATTGGGTTGGTGTTTAATGGCAATAAAATTATGTATTATAATTAATCAACATTTTTTTTGTGAATTCTGATCGAAATTGTTATGTAAACGTTTATTTACGAAATATCTACCACTATAAAATGTAAACATCGAAAATATTTTAAAAATTATTGTATTTAATTTCAGGTGTAGTCATGGAGATTCTAAAACCATACTGGACGAGTTGAAGATATTATCATCAACGGTAACTGATCCAGTTGACGAACTGATATTGGAAAATAATGCCATTTCGTCTATGCCTGCCAATGCTTTTTCAACATTAAAAATTATGCGGTTAATGTTACGTGAAAATGGAATTCAAAAGGTCGCTTCCAATTGGTTATCTGATCAAGAAATGAGCATATTAGAATTATTCATAGTGGAAGCAGAACTTAGAAGTTTTCCGGAAGAAAGTTTAATGGTTTTACCTAGATTAGAAGCACTATCTTTAATTGCAGGATCATTAACACGATTACCAATTATATCTGGTTTGGCTCGATTGAGGTATGTTCAAATCGAAGCGTCTTCATTGATAAACATTGGAACAGGAAATTTTTTGGGACTTCCGTTTCTTGAACAGCTGCATATTACTGGTTCACCAAAACTGCAAAAATTGGACGTAGGTACTATACAAGATTTACCCCGACTATTTTTGTTAAACTTCACGGACAGTGGAATCACTTGGATGCACCCTAGAGCTTTTGCTCGTTTGCCATCCCTTATCGAGCTGTCATTGGTCGGTAATAGGTTATCTGATGCGTCTAATATCGGAGGAGCGATTAGAGATTTGACTTCCTTGACTACAATCAGACTCGATAGAAACGAGTTAGAATTCATAAACGAAGCTACATTCGTGGATATACCGACATTGCGTCATATTTATCTATCTAACAATAAGATAAGCGACATACGCCGGGGTGCGTTCCATCGCATGCCTAACTTAAAATTAATCGATATAAGTAAAAATCAATTACATCACATCCACCCGGAATCGTTCACACCGGTTCGTGATAATAACTTGGAAGAATTATGGCTATCCGAAAATTCTATCGACAATGCGATGACAATACGATTGATTTTAGACATGTTTCCAAAACTCCGGTTTTTGGACATCAGTAGGAATCAGTTGCAAGATATTGTTTATGGCTCAGTGCAGGGCCATTCAAGACTCGAAATGTTGTACTTGGAACATAATAAACTACAAAGAGTAGGCAGAGAAACATTCACCGCTATGCCAATGTTGAGGGAATTGAGATTGGCCAATAATTCGTTATCCAATTACTTAGCTGTTCCTTTGTGGAATTTACCTATGTTGAAAGGTCTTGACATATCGTTCAACCAATTTGACAAGCTTGAAAGGCGAATGCTAGCCACATTGCCATCATTAAGACGATTTGACATCAGCCACAATATTGTTTCTACGTTGGATCCTACCGCTTTCATTGATACTCCAAATTTAGAACATATCAATATATCTTATAATAATATAAATACTATAAACCCTTTAACATTGACACATTTGTATCATTTGTATGAATTTGATGCAAGTCATAATAGAATTAATCAAGTACGTATTTTGTTTTAGTTTGCAATATATGCAGGGCCGTAGCAACCAAATATTGCACCCGGGGTGAAACTTCAAAATACGCCTTTAAGTATTTCAATTTATAAAAAAAAATTCATAAGAAAACTGAATTTTTTTTTACAAATTTAATGATTTTTCCTTATAATTATGTAAGCGTTATTTAATTTTATTTAAATTAATAACTTATTAAAATATAAATATACATAATAGTTATAAGTAGGTACATAGATATAACATTATTATATTCATGATTGATATAAGTCATTACATACGTAAATACATAATATTGCTTTTACTTATAAGCAGGGCTCGGGAGTCAAAACATATGCTTATTTTTATGGATTGACTTAAAATGTAGCAGAGTGCTATAGATGTATATGTCAAGTTATAACACGAACAATTATGAAATTTGAAAGTGCTTTTTTTTTTGCTTTTTCATCAATTTTTCAAAAAAATGCTTATTTCCAGTTTTTCTGATTATTTTTGCTTATTTGACCCGTTTTTTTTTACGTTTTTATAGTTTTCTCCTACAAAGTCGTTTTTGATAGAATTAAAATTAAAATTAATTCTTATCTACGTTGTCACGTAGTTTATCATCGTCCAAGACATCGTTGTAAGGTTAATAAAGATATTTCAACGCTGAAAATAGAACTAAGTGTCAAATGTCAGAACGATCAAGAACAGAGAGAATAGTTTACATTTTTTTTTTTCAGAAAAATCCCTTAGAAAATCCATAAAATCCTTAAAGTCTTGAAAGTGAAGATTTATTTTTATTTTGTTTGATTTTTTAGTTAGAAATATATAGTTTTTTTTTTCTAATAAAAATATTTTTGTTTAATTTTATAGTTTTTAAATGCTTATTTTAGTGCTTATAATGATATTTTTAAGCACTTATTTTAATGATTTTAAGTGCTATAAGTCCCGAGCCCTGCTTATAAGTAACAATTAAACTACAAATTTTATATTTTTGCACTCTCCCGGAAATTGCGCTCGAGGCGTAAGCACCTCTAGCCCCCTCCCCTTGCTACGACCCTGAATATATGTACATAAGTGTTTAACATTTAGATACATTATTCCCATTTTGTTTTTAAGATAAGATTCATTAGGTAAATGAAACAACTTTTTTATAATATAGTTAAAAATTTACCGATAAAATTAATATTATTTTATTTTAAAAAAATAATTATAAAATTATTTACTAAGCTTTCGAATATTCAAAAACTAGTTCTTAATTATTTTCTTAAAATAAAAAAAAAAAAATTAATATAAGTTTTTCAAGTTCTATTTGTAATACATATGATTTTCAGTTTGTTGGTGGAATGCCCAGAGCCATCGAATACCTGTACTTATCTAATAACAAAATAATGAGCTTGCCAAGTGATGGCTCAACGGATTTACATCTACCCGCCTTGAAACTTCTTGATGTTTCAAGTAATATAATACATTTGTTTTTTATTTTAAAAATTATAAAACGCTTATTCATTAAATCATGAATTTTATTAATTTTATCAGATAATGGTATTCATAGAGTGCCATCAAATTCGTTGACTGCTTTAAATTTATTACGATGGCTTTATTTGGGAGGCAATTCAATGCAACAATTGGATAATGGTGCATTTAGTGGATTAAATCAATTACAAGTGTTAACATTGAACGATAATAAATTATTAAGTATACATCCGAACACTTTCAAGGAGTTACCTCTTCTGGTAAGTTCTAAATAAAAAAATTAAGTTAAGAAATACATATTTCTAATTTTTATTATGTTTTAGATTGAGTTAAGTTTAAAAGGTAATAGATTAGAGAATTTAGAATCATCATTGCTGTCTAATAATGAAAAATTGAAAAAAATCGATGTTAGTCATAATAGATTAACTGAAATTTACGAATCTTACTTCTCGGTAAACAAGTAAGTTGAATAAAAAATAAACATTAATATTTCCATGTTTAAATATACATATTTTACACTTTTCATGATGTATTTTTTGTAGGGAACTCGAAGAGTTATATATATCGCATAACTCTTTATCGGAGTTTCCATCATCATTAGCAGCGAATCCAAATTTAAAAGTTCTCGACTTAAGAAATAACGAAATTAAACAAATGAAAAGTGGAATGGTCTCATCAATGCCATACTTAAAAGAGTTGTACTTATCAGAGAACAACTTGAACATTTTAAATGAAGGGGCCTTTCAACAGCTACCGAATTTGACTATTTTGGAAATGGAAGGCAATAATCTTAATACATTACCTTCATATGGTATTCAAAACTTGCCAAATCTTATGGTTGTTAAGATGGCTAGAAATAAATTGGTATCCTTACCAAGCGCTACTATGGTGAACCTACCAATGCTGCAAATTGTCGAATTGCAACAAAATCAACTCAACGAGATAGCTAGTGATGCATTTGTTGGTATACCAAATTTAATTATGATGAATTTGAGCCATAATTATTTGAATGGCATGGAAAAATCGGGTTTAAACACTTTAAGAAACTTAGAAGTCCTCGATTTAAGCCATAACAAGTTAAAGCAGATAGCAACTAGAAGTATACAAAATATGCATTCTTTAATTATGTTGAAAGTAAATTAAAACTCTTATTACGAATTTTGTAGTTCTTTAACGAAATATCATACTATAATAAATTATATTATTCTAGCTCGACAACAACAGGCTATGCAATATTATTGGAAGTCCATTTGAAGGAATGAGCCGTCTCAGAATATTGAGCTTACGTGACAATAAAATGACTTCACTCTCTGAATCGACGTTCAGCAGTATCAAGCCCACTATATCTCGTTTAGACGTAGATGGTAATTATTTGTTAATTATTAACAGTGTTGAGCATTATTTAGATAAATTATCTAAATAAATTATCTAGATAAATAATTAATTATATTTTATCTTTTCTAGATAATAAACGAAATTAGTTATCTGATGAATTATCTTGGATGAATTCTTGAGTTATCCATTGTAATTCATCTAGATAAATAAATATGAGTATATTTATTCAAAAAATTCGAAAAATTGAACTTAAACATTAAAAGCTAATAAAAATTTAAAATTAATTAAAACATTATTAATATTATTAATTAATTGACTTTAAAATTAATAACTATTATTTTAAAAGTTATGTCACTGCAATATATGTTTAATTATATTATTTAAATTGTGCATATAAGTACTATTTTTAAGAATTGTTTACATAATTAATAAAGACAATTCAATTTATACTTTCTAGTGACTTTTACAATATTTGATTCATAAGAAAGATAATTAAATAATACAGATAATGGTTTAATTAACTTTTTAATATTTTAACCATAAATATTACTCCATAATAAGTATTATAATATTTATTTATATTATAAATGGTAATGAATTGTTTTATAAATTTATAATAACCTACATAGAATGTATTTTTTAAAACTAAATACCTATTATTTATTACTTATTTTCCATAGATAAATGTACATAATATAAATACTTTTTGTTAATTATTTATATTGGTGGTACCTATTAGATAAAAACTAAGTTAATTTCAATTCAATTTTATTTTTAAGTATAAATTTATGAAAAATAGTGTAAATCAATTAATAAAATAAAAAAAATATTATTTTTTTTATCCAGATAAATAGTATTTTATCTTTTATCTTTATCTAGATAATTTAGATTTGAACTATCTTTTATCATTATCTAAATATATTTTTAGTAATTTTTACGCAACACTGATTATTAGTCATTAATAAATCACAAATCATAAGCAAAACAGTAAAAGTAACATACATAGTTACATTAGAATAACAATTATAATTTTAATAATTAATTAATGGTATTTTATATGTATGCACGTAGGCAATCCAGTACACTGTTCCTGTAACATGAAGTGGTTACAATCATGGTTAAGAACAACAGCTGATAGTTTTGGTCCTAGATGTACCGATGGAACTTTACTTAGAGAAATGCCTTTTTCGTCGAAACACTGTGATGAAAGAGACATAAACGCTGTAACGGAAAATATTCCTGGTTGTGAAACTGAACCAGTCCCTCCTATTACCAATGGTGAGAGCAATACAAACGGTAATCTCATTTCGAATGTTTTATCATGTTTTTATAAATATTCCAGCAAATACTGGGACGTCAAATACAGTCAATTCATGGACAAGCAGTGAAGAAGCAGATAAAAACAAGCCGCTTCCGGAAGAAACTGATTATTTTTATGAGGATGTCGTTGACCTCAATGATAAAACAGAACTGCAAAGAGGTATTTCAACTGAAAAAACATTGCCGACAGTATCTCCAGCGGTTTTATCACACTACGTGTCTGGTGATACACCAACACTATATGCCAGCACTCGGCCGAACAGTTCATCCCACACCAATGAACACTCATTACAGACTAATGTGGGAGGTACTGCGTATACATTTTTCGGTGTTCCTATACCACCTATAAATTTGAACAATATTTGGGGCCAAACCAAAGGCACCGGCAAAAGAATCAAGGATAGCAGACGAAATTCGTTGCCCAAAAAGTCATCTACCGTGGACCAAGAAGGTTTTACTCCGATGTCATCGAGCACCGGTGGTTTCCGGCCGATAATGAGCACACCTGTTACGAGCATAGCGGATAATACGTTTTTTGGGGAAGAACCTGAAAACGAAGAAGACGTAGAAACGGTTTATAAAAATAGAAGCACATCAAATAAAAACGTAGGATCCAGTATCCCTCCACGGTATTTCAGCAGCACTACAGATAATCCACCTCATAGATATTCTAGCAACGATATAAGTTATACTAAGTTCTTAAATATAACGTCTCGTGATTCATTATTCGAGTCAGCCACTATAAACTCGATCGTTAGATCGACTGTAAAACCGAATCCAGCCAATGATCAGCAACCAACCGCAGCTTCGCCTACGAACTTGCAAAGCGATGTTATGGTTAATCAATCTGAGAGTCCGCCTAAATCGTCAACAGGTAATAACATATAAATTTAATTTAAACACAATTACAATATGTCCTACGTAAATTGGCGAAGTTACGTATTCTACGGTTAGGCGAACGCGTAGCGATGCAAACGAATTCGCATCATACATATAGGATATTGATCGCTGCCGCCGTCATGAAAATTTGAGTAAGATTATTATTAGTTGCAGACGGCGGTGCGCTGATGGTGCGTAATTAATAATAATTGTATTATATATAAAATATTTTGTGTTTAATATTTGTATTGATACTGACTATGAATCTAAATGTAGAAAAAAAAAACTATCACTTGAAAGTAATCTACTTAAATATTTATTATATAAAAAATACAAAAAAAAAAAATTAAAAATCAAATTCAAATACATTAATTTATAGTGATCGATTAATATTTGGCCAATTTACCGTTTATATTCTCAATTACGAAAAAACAATACCTTACTTCGTATTACACATAATATAATGTAATATTATAAAATAAATATTTAAAATAATATTCATACGAACGCAGCAATGTGCGGTGAAGAAAACAAAATGATTTGTTTTTTTTTTTCAAATCGCCCGGTGCATGCGAACGAATTCAATTCAACGCAACTCTCTTGCGTACACTGGAAACGCAAACATGTTATCACAGGCTTGTTTATTTTGGTCGCCCTACCGAATGCATTGTAACGCGTTCGCCGGATTTACGATGGACAAGGCGTAAAAACTAGTGTCCCACTCTGTAGTAAATATTAAAAACAATTGAAGTAAATGAAATGTATCGTGAAGTTATGTTAATAAACACATTATTCCTGTCTGAAGTTTAAACATGTTGTATTAACCAAAGACTAAAAACAAGAATCAATTATTTTTTTAAACACATTCATTTGATAATATTTTAGTGCTGGAAAACAATCGGTTACCAATAAACGAATCAGGATAAATCGTACGACGCCAATTTCTTATTTATCTTCTCGATTCGAGTGTATTGAAATCGGAATCGAATAGATTAATACTGTTAACCTTGATGTTATTGGACTGAAAAAGCAGCGTTTTCGATCTAAACATTTGTGCAGTCTTTTTAAAATATTAATTTTTCGATATAATATAGATCAGGATCACTTACGCATCCCGATTAATACTATCGGATAGATCTTTTATTAATTATCTGTCGACCCGGTTGTATCGAGAAACTGTCATCGGAATCATCGTCACGATATGCACGGTTTAAGCCCGTTTAAAAACCGCTACGATTAGACACGTGTCGCGCGGACAGATGCGACAACCTCGCGGCACGCGCAAACGTAGGCCCAAATATATTTAGTCGTGTTTTACTTATTCTTATTTCGTTGTAATGTACTTACTATATCCGTTAAGTCGTGTGCTTGCAGAGGGACCAACGGCGGCGAGTGCGACGACCCAACAGTTCACCTCGGTCACGCGACAGTCCACGACGGTGGCCACGGAGGAAACGTCCGGGCCGACAACTGCGGCCACGGCACCGGCTGCCGCCAACGTGTCCACGCCGTCGTCACTGAGCGGTTTCCTGGCGCCCGGCGGTCAACTGCCGGTGCACAAGGACGGTGGCGTGGTGGCCACCGGCAAACCGTCCATCGTTAAGGTGACGCTGAGCCCGCCGGTGCAACCGCAGCACCAACACCAGCACCACGCGCAGAGGCCGGCGGAGGATCGCGAACAGCCGCACGCGAACGTCAAGTACTCGAGGGTCGGCGCGAACAACCACCAGCAGGCGTACCACCAGCTGCCCACCACCCGGTCCACGGACTCGTTCCAGTCGACGCCGTTCAGGACGAGCCCGGCCAACGACTGGTACTACGCGAACTACAACCGGACCAACGTGGAGCCGTTCGTCAGCAAGACGGCCGCCGCGGCTTCCGGCGTCGACGGGCTGCGCGCGGTGGCCGCGGTCGTCATCGGCGCGGCCGCGCTGGTGCCCCGGATCGGATGATCCGACGCCGCTTCTCCGACCACTCGGCGACAACGTACAACACGCCCCATAGTAAAATGTAAATATACGCGCATGTGAGCGTACAGGGTGCTCCGTGCCGCCGGCAAGATGCGTCCGGTATGTTTCCTCCGTTGCACCCTGTACGCGTGCGTACGTCACACGACGGTAGGATCGTAGTCGAAACGTAGATCGTATTGCTATAAATAACGAGTTCGGACGCGCATGTCACCGGGGTTGGGGGGGGAGGTGCCGGAATCGCAGCGGCGTGTTCGCGAACTTTTCCCCGGTCGGTCGAACGGTGTTCCCCAATTGATACTGCACCGTACACGGTACCTTTAACATACTTACCGGATTGTTTTTTCTTATTTTCTATTTTAGTTTTAATTTACTCTTAAGATACATTTTTCATAAATCAAAAAAACATCGTGTACAACAACAATAAGTAGTCTCCCTCTTTTTGGTTTTCGTCCTCCCGCCCCAACATTGTATTTATACCCGGTAATCTTGTACTTTTGTTGTATTTATTTCGCCAAGATATTATATGATAACTATTGTAATAAGACGATGCGAAATTAGATTTACTGTGAACATACGAACCAAATACGGTTTTGAAATGTTATGTACACATTTTGGTTCACATAATACACGCGATCGTTTGCTAATTTTTTTGAATGTAATTAATACAACGTGTATCTATTTTAATTATATAATGTATGTACCAATGATGTTGGAGTGTACATAATGTATCCAATGGCAATTACAAAAGTAATTTTATCTTGGTGTTATTTAAGATTTTTTATGCATTGTCCGGATTAGAAATTTTTTAATAATTCTTTCCTCGCCTTTTTTTTATCACTTATTTTGTTAGCGCATTCGCTATGAACTTAGTATTGTAATTGATTTATTTTATATATATATTTTTTTTTACAAATTACAGTTAATATATAAATATAATTATCTTCAAAATGTGTTGTTACTTTAATTTGCACAATATTAACACTTACAAACCAAACTGGAGAATGTGATTCACATTTGAGTGTAATCATTACACTGTAACGTGATAAGACTTTAAAATGGATACAACCGATATTTAGTTACTCCGATTAATCAAACAATAAGTAATTCTGCATAACACATTTAGAAGTTGAACATTTAATTGTTATTATAATGTTATTTTGCGATAAACAACACTGTATACCATACCAAAATGTAGGTATTTTATAGAAAACAAATTTAAATAAATAACGTTGAACAGTTTAAATAGTAATAAGTAAACTGTATTAGCCTGCGATAGCTGAAAAAACCTTTAAATTTATCAAGCGAAGATTGACAGTTCAAAGACAGGAATAACTATACTTTTCTTCATAAACCATGTAGATGTAAATAATTTATTTAAATGAAAAAAATTAAATATTTTATATTATATTTATATAAACATTACATATTATATTTATATATATTATTATATACATTAAATGAAATAATTAAAGAAATTAAATTAATAATAATGCAACATATTCTTACAGAATAGGGCATGTTTTTTTTTTTTAAATAGTTTACACAAATTTGTTATTTTTCGGTATCAAAGATAAACTTAAAAATATTAATATTAAAAATCTATTAATTTTCTATGTTTAATTAAGAATAAAATATAATTTAAATTTAAACAATTTTCAATAAAAAAAAAAATACATGACGAAATCGGATGATGTATCGGCGGGCATAAGTAAAAATGTTGCAAAAAATTTACAAGGCTCCGGAGAGATTCGAACTCTCGATCTCCTGTTTACTAGACAGGCGCTTTAACCAACTAAGCCACGGCGCCGTTGTTATTGAGATGTTTAAAGATTAATTATATAAACGCTTTTATTACATATAAATTATTGAATAAAATGATAAATTACAGGTATTTAGCGACTTATTTATAATTTTTTTAGATTTACAATGTAAAATTGTCAATGTTCTACATTGACATAATACAATGTACGAAATATTAATTATCGAGGACTTTTTTGTAATGGAGTTTTTCGTCTCATACTAAATTGTTTAGCATCGAAATATACTCTGCCTGGCAGGACAAATTAAATTGACCAACGCAATTATGAATCAATTCAAATTACGAATACTTTAATAATCATACTTAAATTTATCTCTTTATTATTTTATCATTTGAAACTATGAGCCAAAGCAAATCACAGATACGATTGTTACTTCTGATCTTGATACCAACGTCCTAGCTACATTAAATTTAACGGGAAATGGTAGGTAATAACGTGCCTAAAAAAATGTATATTTTCATACTTACTTAACAACACACGTAAAACAAACCACTATTTTAAAACTTTTACGCCATTGTAATATTTTATTAATTTGGGATTTTTTCACTTAATAGTATGTATACTATGTATAGGGTGACCCTTAATTTTGAACTTTCGAATTTCTCATTCCCCACCCCTCATTTTATTCATTATTATAAAAATAATTTGAATTAAATTTGATCATGATCACTCACTTCACGTGCCACAAAAAGGTTGAAAATGTCCAAATAGAATAGTTTTTTGGTTATTTAAAATAAATTCATAAAGTATAGCTTTGAGAGTATAAAATATAGAACTTTTATCGTAGATCATAATATTATCTATGAATCGTGTTTTGATAAATTTTTCACGAATTGGTTTTTCACACGAAAAATTACAAAAACCAAATATTTTATTTATTTTGAAAAATTACATTTTTATTGGGAATGACTACATCCAATGTTTGGAATTAGTCCTCCATCCACTCGCCTAAAATCAAGGAAGATCTTTCTAAAGTGCACAAAAATTTTGGAAAGAAATCAGGATTAAGAAAGGATCGATAGATGGAAACTCTCCTTAGACGAGGAGACTAAAAATTGGATGATACCGACCGAACACCTACCTGTAGGGAACAATTTAGAATGTTCAACGTGGAGAGCAATTAATTAACTGAGTGTAGGAGTTGGGCAATCCAAAGAAAACCAAACAAAATGGAGCCTCTTCCTGATGAGGATACATATTGTGATTGTGGACAGTTTCAGACCATGTTCCACCTAATAAGCTGCCCATGCTACTCAACTTCATGCACAATGAATAACATCATGTCAGCGACCAAGGAAGAAATAGAAGTGGCCAAGTTTTGGTAAAATAGTAGGTATCTGAAACATAATTTTAAACATAACCATACTACATAATCGAATTATATTGACACCGAATTAACTAATTAATTATTATTTATTACCACTAATTGTTATCTATCTATTTATTACTGTCATTTATTTGCATTGATATATTTTATTTATGTTTTATTTATTTAATGTTACTAACTCATGGCTATTTATTTTAATTTTAATTAATTTAATCTTAGTCGTATTTATGTAAAAGGTTATTTGTCACGAAAAAATAAACATAAAGTTAGTTGTACAAGAGTAGGACTTATTGTTTGTAATCCAAAGTTTCCATTTTCTTAAAAAGAATACAGCAAACCAGTTTATATATACAGTATTTAACGCTAATATTATGGTCGTTGAACGCAGAAATAACAAACTGCATAATTGTTAGATAAGCAACTGTACCATTTGTATTTGGAATAATTTCATTAATACAATAACTGTATCAGAACACATTTTTTCTGCTGCTCGAAAATTAATTTTATCAAATGATCTGACTTTGTGAGAAAATATTTGTCTTTAGAGTAATTATCAATTAGACATTGTAAATTAATTCATGAAGCAGGATCTACCTATGGGAAAAATTATACTAGGTTTCAGAAGTCTTGTTCTTAACTTGGTCCTTATTTGAGGAAATACAGATTTGGTATTCAAGTAATGTTGAGTTGTAATGTAATAAAAATTTCCATGAGATTACCTCAGATTTTCAAAATGATCATAAGATTTACAAGATTACTCCATAGATTTCCAAAATAACCATATTATTTCTGACATTTCCCACCATAGATATCTGACTAACTAATAACTAATATCCAACTGATATCTGTGTTCCCACTACTTATACACCGATTTCTACCAATGATTTACCACCGGAAATCCCCGTCACGAAGTGACAATGGAATACCGTCAAGCAATAGATAAATCCGTGGCAGCCGTGGCTACAAGTCAAACTATGTATAAAGCGGAATACATAAAAATCAAATTGGTGATTAAAATAGGTATAACAGTTAATGATTATGAAAATTACAATTTTTATGAGTTTCACAGTTGACGGTATAAAAGTTATGATAATATGACATAATTTAAACTGAAAATGGTATAAGAATAGAATATTAATTAATGACAACTTTTTTTTTTTTAATAATAATAATAATTATTATGTTTACGTATGGTGTACATGTGGAAACAACCAGTAATTAAATATTCAACTCGAAACTAAAACTCAGTAATAATAATTTATTTTAATTTCAAACAGTAAAATTATTTTGTGGCAGATAAATATAACGAGGCTTTCTTGCAATAAAACCTTTAGTCCGGATTTACGGTGTCAAAAAAAAACGTTTGATACGCAAATGTTAATGTTTCATATAAATTGTCACGAAGTGTCCTCCAAAAGATATTATATCCTAAAGATTTCGATACGTTTCCGTCGCGGTGTAAATTAATCCCGGGCTGTTTGAATTTTGGCGGCAAATAGCCACCTGTCGTCCGCTGTCCGTCTTCGTACAAGTAGGTTATGAAACAGCGTCGTATTCAAACGGCTGTTGCAGGGACGGCGGCGGATGACCAGCACTGTGTGGTGCGCGCCGATTGGCCGGGCCAATCGCTGCGGTCCGTTGATGTTGTTTTCAAAAATGCGCAACGTGTGAGGTAGCCGCCGCCGCCGTAGCCCATTGTCCACGTACGCATAGCACATTTCTGCGAGTGTCCGTGCACCTGTCCCGATCGTTTTCGTAGTCAGTGGTTAGGTTAGGAAACGCGCTCGACCAGTCTGCCGTCGAAGATTCGTCAAGACATCGCTCTGTGTACCTACGCCGTGCTGCCGCCGAACAAATCTGAACGATGAGAGCACCAACGAAGCAATTGTTGTGCGCTCTGTTCTGCCTGTCCGCCGCCACCCTAGTCGTCAACGCGGAAATATACTACGAAGAGAACTTCGACGACGGTAAGCGACCGTGCTTGCTCTTCCGATATTTCGGTTATCCGGTTAATCCAACCTATTGTGTTGTCGGTTTCTGACCGCAGCATGTAAAACGTTCGAAATTTAGCCGTCTACGACAACCACTATACCTATAATAATAGTTATTACACGACTTTTTTTTTTTCATTCTTTTTTTTTGTACGCTTTTACGCAGATTCGTGGGAAAACGAATGGACGTACTCGGAACACGCTGGCATCGAGTTCGGCAAGTTCGTCCGCAGCTCGGGCGCTTTCTACAACGACTTTGAGGTCGACAAGGGTATACAGACGACACAAGACGCTCGGTTCTACGCGTTGTCCCGGAAGTTCACTCCGTTCAGCAACGAGGGAAAAAACCTCGTCATTCAGTACACCGTCAAACACGAACAGCACATCGATTGCGGCGGTGGATACATCAAGCTGTTCAACTGCGACTTGGAACCCAAGCAAATGCACGGCGAAACCCCATACGAGATCATGTTCGGTAATCATATTCAGTTCTAGATGTATTGTGTTATTATCTCAATACGGTTTATTTACTTCATTAGTTTTATCATCGGTTTCATAATATTTGAATGAGGAGTGTTGCATTGAAAATATTTGGTATTATGATCTAAACGCATTCAACTATGATTGAACTACGTTCTAACACACAGGAAACAGATAACATACAGCTCACTCATTCCTTCCTCTCGTAATTTCCTATTACATACCAAGTACAAACGCCGTTGAAAACAGGTGTTTTTGTCATATGACTGAAAGCAATTTTTGGTTATACTTAAATATTATGTAATTCATATAAATATTATAAACCAATTATTCATTGATGAATCATCTCATTTTTTTTTTTTTTTTTTTTTCGTAAAATATGAATCAATTATTAATATTACAAGTGAACAATTCAAATTACTTAAAAATAATTATAGCTTAGTATTAAATTTATGTACATCAATAGTGATATAAAGTTAAGAATATTAAATAAATAAAAGAGATATTGGATCTTAGATATCTGTGATAATGATGTTGTTCTATTTATATATATATATATATCTGTGTTGTGGATAAAATATGATATAAATATATGAAGGTTTCATATAAAAGAAAATATCTCGGCATGTAAAAAAATAGTTGAAATTAAAGTACTTACAAAAATAATTTAATTTTAATAATATTAAAATCCAAAATTTTAATTGATTTACTTAAATATTATTATTATTATTATTATTTTTTTTTATTAAATTAAAATAATATTGTGTTAAAATTATTTTAGAATAAATATATATATATTATGTAGTTTAGTCAATTCAAATAAATATTATAAACACTTTATACTAAATGAGTAAAAATGTATTATTACTTACCAATATTTATGTTAGTTACATATAATGTATTAATATTAATATATTTTATTAAGATTCAACATTTTTAATTGCTTATCACTTTCTTAGGTTAACTTAAGCAAGTATGTTTTACATCAATATCTTTATATATTAATGGTTAAAAGTTTTATTAATATAACTTTTTACACGTATAATAGTACAATATTTGTTTTTACAATTATTCAATAACTGCCATGTATTTTAAACAACTTTGAGTACTAAAATTCTACAAACTAGGGAAATTGTACTGTTTAAAATGTTCTCAAGTACAGGAATGTTAAATTAATATATAAACTATACTAATTTTATCTTTAAAGAAACCTTTAGTTTTAATATTTTAAATTGGACTGTTTAAAACAAAAAATTAATATTTATCATAATAGATTTCAGATATATATTAATTATAACTCTGATATTAAATGACCTAATTATATTATATTCAAGCTTTATAGTATTCTAATAAATAAAAAAATAAATAACATTTTAAACTAGGTTTTTTTAATACTTATTATGCAATTAAATTTATAAGTAAAAGTATTGTTGTCTTTTTTTAGGACCTGACATTTGTGGTACCGAAACAAAATTAGTACATGTTATCTTTAGCTACAATGGCAAGAATCTGGTGATGAATAAAGAAATTCGTTGTTTAGATGATATCTACACTCACATGTACACTCTTATTGTTAAACCTAATAATACCTACGAGGTTTTGATTGACAATGAGAAGATACAGTCTGGAGAGTTAGAAGCTGACTGGAATTTTTTACCACCCAAAAAAATCAAGAATCCTGAAGTTAAAAAACCTGAAGATTGGGACGATAGAAAAACTATTGATGACCCTAATGATGAGAAACCAGAAGATTGGGATAAGCCAAAACTTGTTTCTGATCCAGCTGCGATCAAACCAAACGATTGGGATGATGAAATGGATGGTATATGGGAACCACCAATGATTGATAATCCAGATTACAAGGGCGAATGGAAACCAAAACAAATTGAAAACCCTAATTATAAGGTTTTAATAGTCTTAAATTTATTTTTAAAAATACTATAAATGATTTTACAATAGTTAATAATTATTTACAGGGAGTTTGGATACATCCAGAAATAGACAACCCAGAATACAAATCTGATGATAAACTATATCTGAGAAAAGAAATTTGTGCTGTTGGCTTTGATTTATGGCAAGTAAAATCTGGAACAATTTTCAACAATATTTTGATCACGGATGATATTGAACTTGCTAAAGAAAAAGCTGAGGCTATCTGGGACCCAAGATATGTAAGTGCATAGTTCATATTTTGTGAAATTATACTAAATATAATTTTATAATGTAATTAACTCTTTTAGGAGGGCGAAAATAAAATGAAGGAAGCTTTAGATGTAGAAGAAAGGATAAAAAAAGGATTGGATATCGAGACAGCAGAGGACATTGAATTCGTAAAAGATAATAAAGAGGATGAAGATGAAGAAGATGATGAAGAATTTGATAAAGTCCATGATGAACTCTAAAAAATACTATGTAGTATATCATTATTTAAGATGATGTATGATAATAGTTTTACTGAATAATTTAATTTTAATTTTATCTTTCAGGACTGCCACATATTGTTTTCCGTTAGTCACTTATTCATACATATTATTGTTTTTTTAGTGTGGTATACAATTAATATTATTTTTGTTCCCTAATCATTTTCCTTCTTTCTTTTCATTAACTTATAATCAAAAATTTAAGCTAAGTAAAATAGTTAAAAAAATTAATATTTGTATTGTGTTTCATTTTAATCTTATCTTGAATAAAACATATGTGGCATACGTAATTAATTTTGTATTTAGTAAATTTTAGATTTAGACTAAAATATAAAATAATATCTTATAAATAATAAAATATTTAAGCTTAATTTTTTATTTATAATTTAAAATATTTTAAATTGAAAATATATTAATCATAAACAAAAATGTGTAAACATTAATTATTCATGTTATTAATTAAGTTAGATTAGAATTGTAGTTTTTTAGTTTTGTGCTATGATGTTGTAATCAAAATTATCCTTATGTTTAAAATATACTTGAGCTATAACTTTAATAAATGTGTACATATTTCATAAAACCAAGTGTCTAGAAACCGTATTATACAAGAATAATTCATTATGCTAAATATTTTTTCAGAAAGATCAACATTATAATTAATTTTATTTTATATAATACCATCGATTCTTGTTGTGTTACTTTATCTGAAGTTTGTTTTATTTATGACTAAATTATACTTAAGCTTGACAAACTATTTCCTTGATAATTGAATTCATTTTTATTAACCTTCCTTACTACCTTCATTCCTTTGATATATCATCAAGTTCCTAAAATTTCTCTTGATGTAAGAATTGCATTGTTATATTAATCTAAAAAAAAAAAACTATATATTCAGTTTTAATCATATGTTCATATGTTTTAGACGTTTTATCTCTTTTGTTTAGTGTTCTATTATCTTTTATTATGTCTTCATGGAATATACTCGTATGTTATAATCCTGTATCTCATATAAAAAAAGTATATTATCATTCTTATTTGAAGAATTTAAAGAAAAAAAAACTTTCTATGATAAATTAAAAATTTATGATCAAACTTGAATATACTCCAACTTTAAGAAATACATTTTTACATTAATAATGAAACATGATACTTTTATGACTGATCTAATTTCAAATTTTAATTTGGTAAGTGATCTGATAAGTATAAAATCTGTATTGGATATTTTAATAATTAGTAGGCCAGCTTTCTCTACACTAAAATAAAATTTTGATTTAATTAAATACAATTCTGCTGACATTAAATATTAATTATATTAACTGAGAAATGGCATAGTAGAGATTTAAATTTTAATATTAACTGATAAAAGTTATAGAATTCTTAAATTTTTTAAATAATGGTGAAACTATTTTTATTAGCGATAACATAATAATAATGGATGTTATTACAAATTGTAAGTCTTTAGGTATTAATTTTAAAATTAATTTACACAATTATAAAACAATATAAATTTATAGATTATTGGGTATAATAACAAAATACTATTAATAGGTTTTGATATTTATTTGATAAAATGGTCGAATATTAATAATAATTATAAAGTAATCATCAGTGCTAATATAAGTATTAATATATTAGACATTTCATATAAATAAATATTTAATTTCATGTAAACTAACAAGAATACTTGGTATTTAAAAGTCTTGAATGGATCATTCTTACTAAATATATAAACATACCTAATATTAATTTGTAAGAACAAATACTAAAGATAATTTTAGTCAGGCATTGTTTATTAAAATATACATTAAAAAAGTCAAATAATATTAAACAATTAATTAATTTTAATACTTTAAATACATATATTATAAAATTTATGAATTTATGACTAATACTAGTAAAGTTTCTAGTATTTCTAATAACAAATTAAAAAAAAAACAAATCAATTAGACACTGGATAATGGTTTTCTTATATCAATTAACAACAGATGAAAGTTGTATTATTTGGTTTGATAATACAGTTATTCCACTTAATGTGATCATTGGATAAATAATTAATTGAAATTAAAAAAGAAAAACCCGAACCAAATTTTATGTAACTGATGTTAAATTAACCTTTGATTATAGGGGAGAGCAAGGTACTAAGAAAATGTGATATCAAGAGAATTCCAATCACATTTGTTATTAATATGTAATATTTAGGCATAAATAGGTAGTAGGAGTATTGAACTATATTCCAGAATAGTTTGTAATGAATCAATAAAGTATAACCATAATAAAAAAATTATTATCAAAATCGTTTGATGTCAATTTGTTATCATAATTCATCTGAAATGTTGTTCTTTTTTTTCGAATCGGAAATTTAGAGTATTTATATTATTTTATTTTACAATACAGGACGAACCCTAAATAACACCGAATGTAGATAGTAATAATTTGATTTATGGAAACGAAGCTCAATTTTAGAGGATGAATGAAGGGTCGGTATTAGTAATGCGCATAAGACGGATGATCGGTGAGTTGAGATAGTAGTTTGAGGAAGAGAATGGTATATGAAAAGAAACAGATGTTCATTATTTCATTATTGTTTTTTATCACTATAGTTGTATTGTTAATTTAAAATAAGAGATTTAAATAAATCAAGAGTATAAATATAATAATTTTTTGTTGAAAATAGTAAACATTTTTTTATTTTTTTTTTTTATTTTAGAACATGGTCCATAATTATATAAAAAGAAACCTTAGGGTTAATTACATAATAGATCAACGGTTCCCAATCTTTTTAGTAGCGTGGACCACTAATTTCGTAGAAAATCTTTGAAGACCACCAATAGTAAGGTTAGATTATAAATGTATAATGTACACATACATCAGTTATTACAATTTATTTATTAAAAAATGAATGTTTATCAAAAAAAAAAAAAAAAACTTCACTGAATCAGATTATTCGAGAGTTAAACAATTTAATGTAATTTTTGATTGTCTCCAACGAGAGAATCAATATCTGAAATAAAATTGAAAAGTTTTAACTTTAAATTTCAAATTCAGTTTAAAAAATTAAGATAGAAAAAAAGTCATTTACACAGACACACAGGCTGTCGAAATATAGCCCATCAAGTTTATAAGTGCAATTTTATAGATTGCAAGAAATTCTTGCCAAGTATTTAGAATATTTAACTAAAATGGTAATAATGATGTAGTTTTAAAAAACAATTTTAGAGTCTGATCACATGAAAGTTTTATCAACATGGCAAATAAAAGAAGATATTCATACTGTTAAAAATAGATTTATTTTTTATGGACCTATTGACTATTGAGAATAGGATAAAAAATGGATTAGATATCGAGACAGCAGAGGATATCCAATTCGTAAATGATAATAAAGAGAATTATGAAGTAGTAGCACACACAGGATTTTTTTTCAAGGGGGGTTTTGCCATTAATAATTTACTACAATAATTAATGTTGTACTTAATGTTACATTAATGTTAATCTTATGGAAACATATTGTTAAACGTTGTACAAAAATAGTGTATACTATTTATATTTGTACATGGAAAATAAACCCCTAACATAATATTATTTGTTATTATTCTGTATACTTATAACTTCTTAATTTATCATGAACAGTTTATAAGGTCAACGGAAACTAAATGAAAATTGTTAACTTGTTATAATAGAATAATGTATAATATTCATAATATATAATTTTATAAATATAATGCCAATCTTGTTTGTAAAATTGTTTGTAGAAATTAGTTAGGTAAGGTTAAAATTTAATGAAGGAAATTATTTCAAGAGGGGGAGGTATGACTTCTTACCCACCATGCATGCGTCACTGTGATGAAGAAATTGATAAAGCCCATGATGAACTATAAAAAATAATGTGTAGTCTGTCATTATTTAAGATGATGTATGATAATAGTTTTACTGAATAATTTAATTTTAATTTTATCTTTTAGAACTACCACATTATTTTCAGTTAGTCACTTACTCATACATATTATTGTTTTTTTTTAGTGTGGTATACACTTTATGTTATTTTTGTTCCCTAATCCTTATCCTTCTTTTTTTTTTCACTAACTTATAATCAAAAAATGTATATTAAGTAAAATAGTTAAAAAAAAAATGTTTGTATTGTTTTTTATTTTAATTTTATATTGAATAAAACATATGTGGCATATTGTAATTAATTTTATAAGATTTAGACTAAAATATAGAATAATATTTTATAAATAATAAAATATTTAAACTTCATTTTTTATTTATAATTTAAAATATTTTAAATTGAAAATATATTATTCATAAACAAAAATGTGTAAGCATTAATCATAAATGTTATTAATTAAGTTAGATTAGAACTGTAATTTTTTAATTTTGTGCTATAATGATGATATAAAATAAAAATATAAAAAAAATCGTGATATTGTTAAAGTTGGAGGTGGAAGAAAAAAAGAACTTAAAGATGAAGAGGAACAAACAATAATAACATATTTAAAAATATGTAGTGCAAGTGGTAAAATTAAATGTATGAAAAAGGATATTGATAAATATACATCGCCAAGAAAAGAAGGTATTTATGCTGTTGAAAATAGATTTATTTTTTATGGGATTATTGACTTAGTTGGCAAATATCCATTTAAAATTAAAAGAACTTATGGTTTAAGATAAATCAAAAAATATAAGAATCTGAAAAAAAAAGACTTTAATACCTAATTTGAAGATTGAAATTTACTCTTATTATATTATACATTAAGATAAAGTTATATCTTAATTTATTACAATGTTTTTTTTTTTTATTTTGCTTCGTTGCAATTATTAGGAAAGTACCTATTAATTTTGTTATGTTATTTATATCTTGTTTTCTAGAAGTTAAGTATTTACAACAGAAATCGTTTATATTTCTTTCAAAACTCAAAGTGCTAATAAGTTACTAAAATACTATAAAAAGCTAACTGTTATTTATATATTTCATGCTTTGTTGTACTCTGTTTAATATTATGTTATGATTAAACTAAAAAATGTTATTCCTTAATTTATATATTTACTAAAAAAATAAAAAAAGTAATACTAAAGTGTCAAATTAAATTTTTTTAAACAGTTTAACTTAGGTATAGGAGGTATTTTGAATTAAAATTGGTAATACATTTAAGAGTTAACAGTTAGATACTTAATATTAAAAAGTAACAAATTCAGTTGCTCATTACTTGTACACCTAACTATA